TGTAATTATATTTCATCCAATATATTTCAATTATTTGTACTTTGAAATAACGCAATTAATAATTTGGTAACATTTATTTTAAAATTAGAATTTTTTAATTAAAAATAGATATGTATTTCTTAAATCAAATGCTTACTTTTTAACGTAATACTGAGAGTCTTACTATTAAATAATATATCTGCATATCTATATTTTGAGAAAATTGTGATACTGCCTTGAATTTTGAATTATATTTGTTATCATTCTGAGATTTTATTGTGTGCTGAATAATAATAAAACAATAATATAAATAAAATTTAAAAAAATAATTATTTTATTTTCCTCTCTAATACAAGCAGGTAGTATATTATAGATACTTAATGCCAGTTATTAACCCTATTAAAAATCAATAAGTAAGCATTTTGATTACAATAATTAAATCTCTTTACCACAATGATTGACAAGGTCAATTTTCTCCAATCTGAAAGATTGGAGCAGAAACGCCTCTTTTCTACAAGCCATATTATAAAGTCACCGTTTTGTGACAGTGTCGCACACGCCCTCCTCCACTGGAACGACTCCTCTTATGAAAAATAGTCGCAATCGTACGCTTTCGACTGTCACTTTTTGATTAGGAGTTCGATTGGTCAGATTTCAGAACACAATGCTTGAAAAATGTGTCTAAGATTGATCTACATATAGTATTTCGAGATTGATCACGATCTCTCGCTTTCACTCGCACAACCGACTCGCTCGTTTCTCGATCATTAAAATAATCGCTGACTTATGCTGCGATTGTTAGCGCTAAATCACGAAACGCGAAAGGATTGCCGAGGTGGAGAGTAAATTTACTCCTGCCATTACGCTCGATTTCATTCCGTCGTCGTCGCATTTCGATTTCGATTCGAGTTCTCTTTGTGTCGCCTCCTCCTCAGGCCACTCGAGCGCACACAAAGGATGCGTTTCTCCCCATGCTGCACCAGGCCGATGCAACCGGTGCAGCTGCAAGGCCACGAGGAAAAAAGGGCGAAATCGCAAAAGAAAGAGAACGAAGGAGAGATTGCTTCATCGTGAACTTAATTAACATTTACTGACGCATGGAGCAGAAAATTTCTAATTGTGATATGTTTTTAGCTATATTTTCAATAATTCGAATTAATTAATTTTAATTAATGAAATAACTTTTAATATTATTTTAGTAATATTTTATTATATTTTATTCAACGAAAGTTTATTTTCTTTTTTAGTATTTTAATATTATATTAAATAGTATATTGCGAAAAAATGCACTCTATTATTTTGATTATCTGTTTAACTTTTTTTCTATTTTAACATATATCCGTTCAGTTTGTTATTAATTCTTATCCTTTACGACCATACAACTATTTTCAAAAAATTTATCAGTATTTTTAACTAATTGTATTTAATATAAGATACCAGTTATTTTTGTATGGTAATAAAATGTGAAGACAGTTTTCACAAAGAAACAAACTATTTATTATTGCTTTTATTTTTCCATCTTTTATCACATTTCTATCCTGAATAATTTAATAACAATTTAAATATAATTCTTTAAATGTCAAAGAAAGTTAGCTATACAGAAACTTGTATAATTTTATTTGTTTAATGATTATTTTGTTCTATGAAATAATATCTGTATAGTAAATGTTGGTTTTTCGGAGACTTTGAAATATTTTAAAGCAACTCTAATCCTCGATAAGTTTCCGCGGCATTTTCTTTATGCCGATGAGCCGTATAAACCAGAAATTAATTAGCAGGTAGCATGCCGGAGCAGAGAGCTTTTTACGATGCTCGTAAAAAGTTGATTCTGGATTTGCTTCGCACGACCAGCGATACTTATGTCAGCCGTCTTGTTTCGCCAGTACTTCGCGATAAAGACGCAATCTGTGTGTTAATAAAGATAACAATAACGTGTCATAATAATAGAATAGTATTGCAATGCGATGAATTATTATATATATGGTCAGTATGACAATAATACAATGGAAAGAATATAATTGTAGAATTGTTATATGCAAATAATAGGTAACACACATGATATTGAAAAGAATAAACGGGAACAATTAATTACTGTAGAAAATGTACAAAATTCTCCCTCAAATGCTCGAAAATTTCACAATCAACTTTATTATTGTGGAAAATACCGCAGTGTCTTCAATTTGGCTCTTATCGTGAGTAATTTTACATGTAACCAAAATATAAAATAATTTTTTTGTGAAAATAATTTCTTTGCGAAAATACCTCGTTTCAAAGATATGTGATACATGAGCTTTTCTTTAAGTAATCTCCTTCAAGTGATTTCCGTATGTTTAGCAAGACTCATAAACACACGAAACATGTACGCGTAACATCTTCACTCGACTTTTATGTTTTTACGCCCTCTCACCGGAATTGCTCCAATTGGACAGGCATTTATTTCCGAACATCTTTATCATCTTGCATCGTAAAAAGAGCGAGATGTTCGCATTAAAGTTTTACAGGTTCCACGTGTAATCGTGATGGAAGGAATCGTGTGTGCGCAAAACTATCATCGTCATAACCAAACGCGTATAGTAGGTATTATATACATACATACGATATTACGATCAGTCATGGCATATTCAATATGTTTGTGTATCGCTTATCGTTACTTTAATAAAGTACCGTTTAAAAATTGTAAGATTATCGAGTTTATTTGAAAAAAATGTCAGATATATTTTCGTACATTATCAATTTACTTATAATAAAATTTATTTGTATTTAAGTGAGCAATAAATTTTGTTTAATTACCTTCTTCATATTTCAATCTGAAGATAAAAATACTGTCGGCTTTATTTCTTATAATAACTTATTTTGACAATTCATGTGACAAGTATAATTGACTGTTTATGTATAAAGGGATCGAAAAAGCTAATTTTAATACTTTAAATAAAATTTAAAAAAGAATATTTTTATTTAAGATTACGTATAAGAACTTGAATGCGAGAACACTCTGTACACGTCTAGAACCCTTTACATAGAAGCGCGAGTAATCCGAGACTCTTGTGTAAGGTAACCGTTTAAACCGCTGACCGTAAACAGAGAAGCTCAGGAGGAAGGCTTAAAAAGTACCCCAAGTTCTTGTAAGGGCGTTAATTACAGGGCTGCTTTCGGTTTCTTCTCCCTCAACCGATTTCTGTTACCCGAGTACCCCTCTCTAGCAAAGGAGTAAACGCAAATAATATGAACGTCAAGTACGCGCCTATTTATTCTTGGTATACTTGTCTGAAGTAGTTAATACAAATAAATACAATAACTAACATTTTTCTTATCAGAAGAACTTGGCTGTTATTTTTATTACGACGAATATGTTTAGGTAAGCCAAGCGAATTGAGTTCTAATTTAAAATTAAACATTTTTTTTAATGTTCTTAATAATATTGTAATGGTGGTTTTAAGTACAATATAATTGAAAGGTTTTGTTTAATAATGATTTAAATTTGAGAATATTCACTTCATGTCTACCAAAAATTAATCTAATTTCTGAAATAGTATTATAAATCAAATTATTTGTTTACAATGTAAAATATATCTTATACAATATATATATATATATACAGGGTGTCCCATTTTAATCTATCGGTCGAAATATCTCCTAAAATACGCCAGCTATAAAAAAATGTTTCAAATAAAAATGGAATGGTGTCGAGGGGGACACATTTTAGTCATATTGTTTTTTTTCTAAGTGGAGGCGCTAAAAAGATATGAAGGTCACCTCCACTTTTTTAAATGGAATTATGTAATTTTTTTTAGATAACGTGATTCCTCTAACTATTTTGCATAAAAGTATTAAGGTAGAGATACCAAAAAACCAATAATTTTCGAGATATTTTACACTTTATTTTGGTACATTTTGACACACAATGTTAAATAACTCGTAAACTGTTGACTTTTTGATTATCGTACCTTAATACTTTTGTGAACAGAATAATGAGATAAATCAAATGGTGTAAAGAAAACACATAGTTGCGTATTTAAAAAATTATCCATTTTGCATACATATTATTTTTAAAGCAACTATGTGTTTTCTTTACACCATTTGATTTATCTCATTATTCTGTTCACAAAAGTATTAAGGTACGATAATCAAAAAGTCAACAGTTTACGAGTTATTTAACATTGTGTGTCAAAATGTACCAAAATAAAGTGTAAAATATCTCGAAAATTATTGGTTTTTTGGTATCTCTACCTTAATACTTTTATGCAAAATAGTTAGAGGAATCACGTTATCTAAAAAAAATTACATAATTCCATTTAAAAAAGTGGAGGTGACCTTCATATCTTTTTAGCGCCTCCACTTAGAAAAAAAACAATATGACTAAAATGTGTCCCCCTCGACACCATTCCATTTTTATTTGAAACATTTTTTTATAGCTGGCGTATTTTAGGAGATATTTCGACCGATAGATTAAAATGGGACACCCTGTATATATATATATATATATAGAAAGGATTAACTGCAAAGAATTAATTTAGTAATAGTATATATAAATAAAGGAAAGAAAAAATAACTATCTCAAATTGTGCAAATAGCTCACTAAAGTAGCGGAAGTGAAAATATGTGAGATAAGTGAAATTCTAAAGAAAAGTGAATAGAAGCAAAAGATGATAAAATATTTTGTTAATAATGCCGATCGATTTTGTTGACAATATCGTCTGTTACTCTATAAGATTTAAGCGTTTGATTTCTGACTTTCAAATTTTTCTTATTTATAAGACTTTATGTTTATCCAAAATTAACTGTAGCTTTGTGCAACAAAACGATTGAACGAACATATCGCGTTACTCCGAGTACTGCTCGCTCAATGGCAGCCAATGGAACTAACATTGGCGCAGACTGTATAATCATCGCCACAACGTGGTTTCAGCTTACTTCGGCCGAATTACTACTGCGGGCGTATCCGAAACACGACACGCCAATTACTATTATTGAGTCTAAGCGTCTAAGCGCACGCTCATGCGAGTTGTTCGATTCTGTTTCAGACACATCATATGAGAAGGCTTGTCGAAGGGGTAGCGCGCCCGCCACTCCCGTGCTCGGCGCACGGCCTCTGGATGTCACCCCAAACAGAATTGTTGTAAGTCAATTTTATTGCTTGCGCATAATTAGTTAAAAGCGGATGCTTCACTCAGTAATGTCATACTATGATACTATTTTCCTAACACATGGCACTCCACGTCGATTCAAAGTATCATTCTCGTATAACTTATTTATAAAATTTAAATGTAACATAATTATTATACCTACTCTCAAATTTTTAAACGTAATGAACAAAGAAATTCAAGATTAATGAGAGTACAGCGCGGTGGAAAGGCGCAGCAAATTGTAATGTTAAAACTTTTATTATTTCATGAGAAGGATGATATCATTATTATTTTAAATTAATTGTACGCTTTGACTTTTGTTTTGGAGTCCTCTTTAGCATTGCAAATACACAGATTGCAAATATTGTGTTTATTTATAAGTATTTATAAATATTAACAACTGAGAAGAATAATATTATATACTATATTGGAAAATATTAATTTTTATTTAATCTTTCGATTTTTTTTTTATTAACACTTCGTTGGCACACATATTTTGCGATATTGATGGAAGAAAATTATCTTTATTTTTGGTTGTGCAGCAACCATAACGTTTTTTTCCCATGTACACATTTTACCATTTCGTTCATAATTACTTAGAATCAAATATAAACATTAATTTTAGAGAGTTGTTTCATTCATTATAAAAATATCAAAAAGGGTCGATATAAAAAATACAGGTCTATAAATTTTTGTGTTTAATATAATAATATATTTCCAGGAAAATCGAATCGATTTCCTTTTTATATATACATATATGTAAATATTTAAAGAAGAAAAAAGAGTTATATCGATTATTGTATTAAAAAAGTGTTTACCTATGAAATTAATCGATCGCGTAACTTTTATCTCTGATACATTTGTTTAACATGCAATATCCTCTTGTAAATTAAGATAGACCACTCTGTATGTATCGTGGATTGGCCGCTCATGAATGAGAATTGATTCTCCAGGATGAAAGAGCCGGGATGAGAAGAGCTTTCCTCGGATAGCTGAGGACGTACATAGTTTACGTCGGCTCGTCGGCTAACTTAATGCCCGGCGCGTTGAATATTCACGAGATCCCGCCGAAATGTCCATGTCTCTGTATTCGCACACATGATACGTTGTAATTAGTTCGTTATACCGTCCTGGTACTCCATATATAGACTGCCTCGCCGCGACGACGACGACATGGTGGTGGGTTCAGCGATCTCATTTTCCATGGGCGCCTGACGTTAACCGATTCACGGCTATATTTAACATCGCCCGCGCCGCGCGAGAGGGAATCGCTTTCGTCTGACAATTTCGCGTTAATTTAATTGAACGGGGGGACGGGGCCATATTCGCCGTCACATATATATCTACCTGCCTCTCACTGTCGATATTATCGGGCTGACAATCGATGTAATGATAGAGTGATTCGCGCCTGGTGCGACGAACAGAATTTTCTCTAGCGCGAAATGTCCACGTGATATCGCAAAGTTTATGATTACTAGCCACGTTATCTATTCGGATCATCATCGGGAGCAGAAATGACTTTGCGTGAAATGTTTTTGTACGCTAATTTCTTCGCTCATTTAGCGTAGCATTCTAATTCCTACTTTATTAACATCAAAGTAGCAATTGTGCGTTTAAACGTAATAATCATTAAGTTACGTGAGACATTTTAATTCTTATTTGTTTAACGTGAATGTGTAGTAAAATCAATATTAAAGCTATGTATCTTGTGTGCGGTAATCATCATTCTGCGATCAGCATTTATACGAACTATGTTTGGTGATTTGCAAATTATAAAATTATATAGAAGCATCCTATGATGATATAATGTGTGAAACATTAAACATTTTAAAAATATGATGAAAGTATCTATCGGAGTGCACTGATTTCAAATCAAGTGTCGTAATTCGCTTAATAGGGTAGTAATCGATCACTCAACAAACTTTTATAGCGTCAAATTTGCATTGAATTGAATGAATGTCGTGATCGCCAGATTTTACTGTTATAAGATATTTAACTTTTGATCCCTTCAGCGAATGCCGCACAATCGCGCATTGAATTTCTTTTTAACCCGATAGGTCACAGATTGCTATCGCGCGAGAATACTTTTCCGTCAACAGCGTCTTAGCGAGTACATTAACTTCGCGGATTAGATCTCCGCTAATCACGCGCGGATTCTCTCGGACAGATTTATCGGCACTTGGGTGTTTCTTGCGGCAACGGATCGAACGGACAAAGGTTTTACTCTGCAAGCACACTTCAAGAGATATGTTATCAGATCAACATCCTTCTTCGGGAAAATGTTCCCATACCGATCGTCGAATTCCCGATAACAGAGAACGTATTGTCGCACCATTTTACATCGTACACCTATACATATAACTCACATCCAAACTTCTACTACTTGTATTTTCAGACCAGAAATCTCTTTCTTGCTCTTCCTTGCATGTTCTGTTTGCCAATTCACGAAAACAGGATTTCAATCTTTCGCGATCACATTTTGATTTTACAAATCTCCCAAATCGGCGACCAGCCAATGTTTTCTTTTTTGAATGTGAAATAACCCGTTTTTGTATTTTTATTTTTTCTTCAATCACGATGAGATTCCTCAAATTTTTCTTTACTTTTTAAATATTTTCAAGAATTATTTCGTAAAATTTGTTTTATAGTTATTTGAATTATTATTCATTCATGTTATTACAATACTTTGTATTTAACTCGAATGTGAAAAATATGCAATGTGATATATCGATCCAGGCTTTGCAGGTGTTCTCAATTCTCACGTGCTAGATTAGGTCGCAACTATCGTTTTCCCGCCAAATTTTTTTTTGTAGAGAAAACTTACTATTTACAATTTAAATAGGTATACGCAAATTTTCCCACATCTTTATGATTAAACAAACTAATTTTATTGTATTTTACGAAACAATATCAAAAATTATAAATAAACTGTAAGAGAGTTCCATTTTATATTGATTCTATCAAAAATAAATCTAAACTGTCTATAGGAAAGTAAAAGATAGGCATATTTTATTCAGTCATCAATTAAGATTTTAAAAAAACTTTTTTAGTACACTGTTTTTCATACACGATCGATGCTCGGTGCATGATGGCGGTCTACACATGCAGTGTTCGATAGGAAGGGGATTGTAAGGTCGTTGGCAAAGGGTTTTAAAGGAACAAAAGGACGAACGGACTGGTTTCGGGACAAGTCTTGACAACTACACTGCTATTTCCGGTTAAGGAACGTCGAAGGCTACCGTTTATGAAACGAATTATTTACCAGTTGTCCCCTATATGTGGCTTAATAATCCGATTGCCATCGATATCCGAATAAGACAAAAAGATATCAAGCGAATGTCAGTAATAAATTGTTTTATATGTTGAAAGTCTTTCTTCCATATTTGCAAAAAACCTAATAAATATGTAGCTACGATTAATTGAAGAAAATAAAAAATTTAATCAATATATAGAATTTTAAATAAACTTTACAAGGGGATCATGACTCTATCTTCTCCGAGACACATTTATTTTAAATAATTCTTAGTTCCTCTATATTATATTGAAACATTAACGGAAAATAACGGAAATGAATAACTTTATATGCATTGCAAGTGCAATAAAGGAAACGTTTGAGACATTCAATCGGTCGCTTATTTCGTATGTGCGGCACGTTCTACGCGATAGAGTGAGACCGATTGGAAGATTCAATCAGCGAACGCTGCAGCCTCCGATTTGAGAACCCCTCGAAGACGTTTTTGTCCTTACCGGTGTCGGGAACGGAGGAGCGCGTCGTAGAAGAGGGACTATGAGGGGAATCGAGGGGTTTAGCCCGTTTTACCTTACCTGAATGTAGGGGCAGAGTTTTCGGTCGCGACACAAAGGTGCGCGCCCCAAGGATCCCTTGACTTCGGCTACCCGGATGAGCAAACATCTGCGTCAGTCGACGACGAGATTTCGCCGCGAAATCGCGCGCGCCGCTTTCTCGAAATCTCGCAGAACAAAGTCGGCACATTCGCGTTCAGAAAACAGTTATCTTGTCAAACGGTGATGGATAAAAACATTATAATTGTCATTGTTTCGCGTCAGAAATACATTTATTAATAGAATAATTTAAAAAATTACACTGACCAATATAAACTGAAAAATTTACAATTACGCATAATGTGATTGTATTTATTTTGTGTTGTTTAAAAAAGAATTTTATTTGAATTTGTTTGAAGCGTGTTAACATATACACACATATGTGATGTATGTAACTGACCGTGTAACTATAGTGTCAACAAAATTGTAGGAGGATGAAACCACAATCTTTAATTTACTTAATCGTGATATTGTGCCGAGTTACATAAAAAATTGTAACATAAATGAAAATTTAAAAGACTGTTGTAAAAAATTTATTATTGATTCTACGTATAAATAACTTTTTAGTATAAACTTGAAAGATATTTTAATGGAATTTCCGATAAATATTTATACGATGTTCATGTTAATTATTATCATCAAAATGTTAATGCCGATTTTTAGTTGAACACATGAAACCGTAATGCACTGATAAAAACTTTACTCGAAATCTGGAACAAACGATATATTACTAAATAATATGATAATTTACAAAAATAATAATTTATAAAGAAATTAATTATTAATAATTCAAACTTAAAAATTAATAATTCTTAATTCAAATAAATAATATTATTTGAATTTTATACTGCCGTTTCAAAGCAGTTTAAAAGCAATTATAACCATAGTCAAAACTAAATGCCAAAAATATAATTTCGTGACTTAAAACATAATCTAAATAATTATTAATCTCAATATTAACGAAAAAGTCTTTATAATGAAGTCTCATATACGGTAAAATAATACAGAATTAGCATGTTTTCTAGTATACGTATATATCATACATTTTCAATATGTTTTAATTGATGCAAAGCTATATAAAAAATGATTTATCCTAGTTTTGATTAGATATATCGCTCTTAATTTAAAAAGAAAACAATTTATATTCGTGCGCTTGACAATGAAAGTCCGTTTATTCATAGCTTGTCCATGCGCATTCCATGACTTTGCTATCATTCCATAATGAAAGAAACAAAATGCATTTACGTAATGCATCGATTGGTCATTATCCTTACCAATGCATGGCACTACTCATCAGCTAAGTTGTGAAATTCCGTACGATCACGGATAAAAAATGTTCGATCGAGCACTTTTTGATCGTTTCATCACTTGTAACCATTTAAAGGGCTTTTTAATTTAAATCACCCACCGGTTGGGATCAGTCGTCGAGTTCTGCAAAGTTATTTGACAAGATCGAAAAATGTATACAGCACCTCAGGTACGCTAGAGATGTCGCTTTCGAAGCTTTAGGAATACCTGAGTTCAAATCCAAAGAAACTTGGGTCTTGGGTTGTACCATTCATTCATTTGTTGGTTAACAGCTGCCCGAGGAATGTCTTCAAAATGTGCAAGTGCGTGAAACGTGACTCATATCGAAATTGAAATTCTTCTTCGTGATTTTGTCTTCGCAAAAATAATGCTAGATGTTCGCCATCTAAAGAATCACTATACGGAAAACTCAGAAGATGAAAGAGAATGTGAAATATTTCGATACGTGAAAGTGCTCATTTTCTCGAGAATTTTTTACCTGTAAATGATTCATCGTACGGTTCCAATTGCCCAGGGAAGATTCTCAAAGAATCCAGTGAACAACCTACCGAGGAATGTTAAATTGAGGAATGCGTCATTATGAAATTTTTGCACGCTAGTCAGCTATAAAAGATACATTTTAATTAAAATTTATGAACACATTTTATGAAGAATAAAATTCTGAAAAGAATAACTGAGGATTTCCACCGGACTTTCCAACCAAAATTCGAGACATAGTCACACGTGATTAAATTGCATCCTGACATTGGGCAAGCTTTATCTCACATGCATGTGCACATGCGACATCTTATTACGACGATAATATGCTTCGACGTCACTCATCTTTGACCTGGTAACGGACAGCACATACATTGAAAAAACTTTGCACGTGCAAGCAATGCGCCTGATTTTAAGTGATGAGCGAATCTTAATTATATGATTCTCTTGTACGCTCCTTATGTAAAAATTTAAAATCGTGGAAACTACTAAAAATAAATGTTCGCAGAAGACATGTTACAAGTAAGTTTACAATCATCCAAAAATAAGTTCTACAACGTTTACACGTTGGATACTGCAAGCAGTTATATCTTACAATTATTTTATAACCGCAATAAACCTGCATTTCTGTTCTGAAACAGCTCGGTACAGAAGTAAGATAATATTTAGACAATAATAGACAATATAAATTGAGCAAAAAATATACACGTGTAGAATATTACGATAATACTAATAAATTAATTGATAATAAAAATTCAATATAATATTTAATTTATAACTTTTAAAGGTATCAGGATTATCGATTATCAAATGACAGATTATTTGAAAAATGTTTTGCTAATGAAATATTTTAACATCCTAATATACTTTATCTGGCAAACGCGCCGCTTTATTTTGCGATGTAAAAAATACTATAAAATTTAATAAAAGTGTTCATAAACACTTATTCGGCCTTTTTCACATACGGCCGAATTTACTCGAAACCACGCGAATGTTGAGAAGAAAAATGTGCGTCAAGCCAATGGAGGAGAATGAAGATGACAAAGTTGTCAGCATGATCGTCAACTATTTTAGTGCGAGGGTAAATATCGCGCGGACGGCTATCGCAAAAAACCAAGGCTTCTACAAACATTCGCAAAGTCTATTCGGAAGATAGAGAGAGGAAGACAGAGAGTGCCGAATTCTTTATTAAGAAACTCTATAATTTTATTGCTCCTATCGTTACGTTTTCTTTTCAAAATACTTTTCTCGTTTTTTAATATGTTTAATTTACATATTTAATTTACTAATTTATTTTATTTTTTCTTAAAATTGTAAACTAATATTTTCCCCCCCCCCCCCCCACAAAATTATCTTGGCTACGCCCATATTCCTTTTACTTTCATTTATAGCTATACATACAATTTCTGTAGACACAATTGCTATGTCACTAAAAAGATAAAATTTATACATGCATTATGTTTTTTCACGAAATGCTCACAAATTGTGAACCGTATACTAAATCCTGTGGATAACTCTTAACCAAGTAAGTTTTTTCTCATTTACAGAACTTCTTTTCGAAGCGATCATTCCGGTCGAACCCTTTGAAGAGAACGAAGAGCGTAACGAAGCTCGAGCGGCAAAAGCAACGTGGCGCCGGTCTCCGAGGATGCCGTTCGCACGAGTCTCTGCTGTGCGGTCAGGCGGTGACCTCGATGGACCTCGCAGCGGTGACGCCGCTGCATCCGAGTCTCCTCGGCAGGCCCCACTGCTTCCAGGTCACACCGAGTACTGGCGGGCCGAAGTATTTCAGTTGCAGAACCGCTCACGAACGGGACCAGTGGTTGCACAGGTCGGTTAAATCGGGTTGCGCATTGCTTTTTATTTATCGCCCTGCCGCACGCCGCGCCATAAGCAGTCGTTTTATTTTTATCATGCGAGAATAATGTACTCAATCATTTCGAAACTGAATACTATACGCGACGCTCTAGATTTACCGCACAGTTTCTCGACTACGGAGTCCTTGATAAATACGACATTCGACTTGAATTACGCAAAGTTGAAGAAGTGCTCATCTCGGTAATACACTGCAAACGGATCGAGAGTCAAGAGAATATATACATATGCAAACTAGAACATTATCATAAATATATACTTTCAGTATTTATGTCATTACAATATCTAATTTTGAAGTATAACAATCCTCAAATAAATCTATCAGGAGACGCGATAGTGTCTCCGGCCATGTTCAAAAACTGAGAGACACTACAAGTCTCTTATATCATTATTCGATCTTTACTCGATCCAAAATTTTATTCATGTGATAAGCAGGGACGTACAAGCTACAAATTATCTATTTTACTGTATGCGCAGCTTAAGGAAATCCGTTCAGCCAGATGCGGAACAGACACGCAGAACGGACAATTCGCTGCAAATCTGGTTACTGGAGGCGAAGGGCGTGCCCGCGAAGAAGCGATATTTTTGCGAGGTCTGCCTCGACAGCACCTTGTATGCGCGAACGACTGCCAAACTGAAGGCCGACTTGTGTTTCTGGGGCGAACACTTCGACTTCCATCATTTACCTTCTGTCAACACCATCCAGGTGAACCTGTACAGGGAAGCAGACAGGAAAAAGAAAAGAGACAAAAATGTGTTAATCGGTAAGCACTCGATCACGAAGAATCTTAATATTTTTAAATAACTTAAGTTAATGATCAAAATTTTTATTTGATATCATTCATACATTATACATAGAAAAATGTTCGATTATATACATGTATAGATATAAATTTAAAATGTGATATATATAAATCATATCATACATATGAAACCAAAATTATACGAAATAAATTATCACGATCGTAACACGGTAATAAATGCAATATGCTCATAATGATATACATACCAATTGTCTTTTCTAGGTTCCGTCAGTATACCAGTGCACAATGTGACATCGCGTTACTTAACAGAGAAATGGTATACCGTAGTAGGTGACAAGGGACCTCTCAAAGACCCTCCTGCTCTAAGAGTAAAATGCCGTTTCCAATCAGTTGACATATTGCCAGTTCAGGTCTATCAAGAGTTTCTGGAATATCTGAAAACTGATTATGCATCGCTATGCGAAAAATTGGAACCTGTTATCGGCGTCAAGGCGAAAGAAGACATTGCGACTGCCTTGGTAGCGGTGATGCAACGGGAAAAAAAAGCGCCGCAATTTCTCGCTGATCTCGTCATGATGGATATTCATCGAATAGGTCAGTCTTCATGTAACTAATAATTACGTATAAAACTGTTAATATCTCTTAAGCTTTGTTTCAAGCGCGATTGTGGTTTAAAATTTTTAGTTTATTTCTTTTTTATTTTTGATTTGTTAATTTGCAATTTTTATAATTCTCACTTTGTATTTATTATTATTATTTCAGATGATGAAAGACTCACTTTTCGAGGGAATTCTTTAGCCACGAAGGCAATGGAAGCTTACTTGAAATTGACCGGAGACAGATATCTACAAGAAACTCTAGGAGCCGTTGTGAGAGGTGCAGTCGAAGGCGGTGATTGCGAAGTAGATCCACTCAAGGTCGCTTCCGTCGCTGCGTTGCACAAACAACAACAGAACCTTCGCAACGCCGTAGAGCTGGCTTGGAACAGAATATTATCGAGCCACGCTCATTTTCCGCTAGAATTACGCGAGTGCTTCCGCATTTTCCGTGAACGTCTGGCCGATTTAGGTCGCGAGGACATTGCAGACAATCTCATCTCCGCATCGATCTTTCTAAGATTCCTCTGTCCCGCAATTCTCAGTCCGTCTCTCTTCAACATTACTCACGGTAAATCAAAACATTAATTATATCTCAATTGATTTTCGATCAGTATGGATTGTTGATTACTACACGCATTATATTTGTATAGATTTATAAAAACATTCATTAATTATAATTGTAAAACAAAGATTATATGAAAACACACTTAATGCATAAAAATTCTTAAAAAAATCATTTCTGCTTTAGAATATCCTAATGAAAAAGCAGCGAGAAATCTCACTCTGGTCGCTAAGACTCTTCAAACGCTTGCGAACTTCACGAGATTCCAAGGCAAGGAAAATTTCATGGAATTCATGAATGATTTACTCGAACGCGAGGCTCCGTCTATGAAAAATTTCTTGCAGCTAATTAGCGTAAGTATCGTATAACATTTTATTTCATATTTTATTTCATATTTAATTTTATTATCAGATTTCTTCTTGAATAGATTAATGAAAAAAAAAAAAATATTTTTACAAATTAAAACTATAACTAAAATCAAAACCTAACTATAATTATATATAACTACATGTATAAAAACATGTGTTTTATATAAATATAATCTTTTTGTTCATTCAACAGAATCCACTGCCAAAGGATGCACCAACTAATAACTCGCTTGAATTTGATGGGTATATTGATCTGGGTAAACAATTGTCTCTGCTGCACGCTCTTTTACGCGAAAGTGTGGCAACGATAGCTCCATCCTCGCCATCGATGCCACCATCGCGATTACCCGAGATCCTCGACAGAATCTCTATAGCTTTAGATCAACCAGGTCCGAGTCCCGTACCCACCACACATCGTTATCCGAACTTACAAAATAATATTTTCCGCTACAATGATCCGACGATCGTCAACAGCAACTCGAATCTCTCCATTTCGGCCACGTCGACACTGAGCAATCATAGTACTATAAATGGTACAATCAGGGATAGCAATGAGGTGTTGCAAACTAACACTCTAGGTCACAACAGTTCGCGTAGTCCAAACGTCACAAGAGCAGCGACCTTACCGCGAAACGCTTACATGCCAACGAATGGCAAGCTGCAGCTGCAAATCAACTCCGATGATTATCCTTTAGAGCCGCCGGCGTTCGTGTCGCGTTCGCCGACACCGATCACGCGGCAACATCGACCGCTTGGTCCCAATCGATCTGGACCAGGTTACAGACTGACAACCAGCGCAAGCCTGGCAAACGTCAATCACTGCCAGACTCATCCAACAAGCCCCACACGTTCCGAGAGTCACAACAATCTAAAGGATTCCAATTACAATATCACCACGTCCCCTCAAAGCATCCAGTCGAGTAACGGTAGTATTGTTTCTCAGCAGCAGCAACAGCATCGGCACAACATCGCACGTCTCGCGCAAAGTCTCGATATTCACGATCGCGAAGACAATTTTAATCATAACAATTATAACGTGTCGAGATCGGCCAGCCGGAACCATTGTCACAAGGAAGAGAACGCTAATCAGACCCAACAGCGCAATTATAACAATGTCTCGAAGACCACAGTAAATGCTAACGTGGTCGTCAATCCACCTACGAATCTCACATTATCAATCAATCATCAACCCAACAATAATTATAACACTTCCAAGGGAAATAACGCGTCCGCCAACGGTAATCTTGATGAGTTGTCTGATTTACTGAGATATGCGGATGATGAAGTGTCGGAATCCAAGTCACAGAAGGGCTCGCAAATTTCCATCTCGCAATTGAGCAATGTGGCTTCCTCGGGTTATCAAAGTTTCGCCGCCTACAGTCAGAGCTCCAGTCCGGTGGATCTCAGTAGTAACAATGCAAACGCGCACATTCTCAGTACGGCGCCATTGGCATTTGCCAATCCTGTTTACCATATGGACTCGAATCACGCGAGAACAGGCAGACGAGGCAGCAGTAGTTCGGAAGAGAGAGATGGTAGCGGCGGCGGCGGCGTTGATAGTGTAAGAGGCGTTGATCTAAGCCCCTCGCCACCGCCCAAGAATAACGTACGAAATCATCAGAGGAACGGCCAAAACCAATGGCGACAAGGCAATCAGACTCACAGAAATAATTCAGAACACACGCAAGATGTTTGCTGCACGAAGCTCCGAAGAAGACTCTCGCTCGATTCTACAAGAGATCTATCGGACACCAGTGAGGAAGAAAATTGCCCAAACAGGAGAAGCAAATCTCGCAGTCATCGAAGTATCGATCAGGTGAGCTAATATATGAAAAATACTTGCAATTTGTTTTACGCACTATGAGTAATTAATGAGATGACTATAAATTGAATTAACGATTGTTTCTTAAACATGGAGAAATCTGCAACTTTTCAATTTTTTAAAGTTGTAAATAACAGATTCTTTACTTTATTATGAATCTACTGACTACAGCATATAAATGATTATAATTTTCTGTAATCGTCTAACGAATATTTCTCTATACAAATATTCTTTCTATCTATCCTTTGTAACTAACACGTCATGTTTCCTCGTTTCTAGTACGAAGTGGATCTGTATGAAGTGGAGAGGCTACAGAATAGCGTAGATCGGCTGCGATTGCGCGCGCGATTAGGTGCCAACGAGGATGCCGATTTAGATCTCGCGTCCGACAACAACATGAAGAGCATCATTTCCAGGTACTTCATCTTCATTTCCGCACTAACGTTGCTAACCCATTATCGAGTCTTTGCCTGAGTGTGAACCCTGATATCACCGTGATCATTATCACCGTTTCTACATTTTTTTACTTCGTCTTCTCGTTCAACCACTCGATCTTCCATATCCTCATTTCTCGACTTATCGTGAGATTCATTTGAAGTCTCCATAAAGAAATTCTACAGTCATATACATAGAATGGCATTTGAATTGACAACTTTCGTTTAATGTTATATCTAACAAAAATATACAATTTTATAATATTTACAATTTGTGGTGATGGACGGATTAAATTTTATTGATATAATAAATAACGCGATATTAGATATTAGTTTTAGAATTATTGCCTATTTCGTGTATATTGATAACGATAGTCATCTAATCGCGTGTACCACTTTTTCTATGTCTAACGGAACTAATGGGGAAACACTCACTCGTATATGAACGGCTACTTTATCGAAACGATGTATGTTTAACTGATTGTGTGTTCCTGTGCATTCTATCCGCTGCATTTGGTATACTCTGGCTTGATCTGGACCTTTTGGTGTAAGAGTCAATTATATTTATAAGCTTTTCTTACATTTTTATATTCACATGTTAGCTCATCGTGTTCTTTCTTGGTTTTCGAAAATTCGCCACTCAGAATTAAATTCGGAACGAATTTGTTTACCGTTTTGATATTACGGACCACGAAACGTCTTTTTTATCAATTTTTCACCGAATTAGCGCTCATCGAACATCGACACATCTCATGACTCACATTTCAACACATTCATTTTGATCATATGCACGGATATTCAATGACAGAATTATCCAAGTATATCGCAAAGAAAGAAATGTCCGGGTACCGTATGTACATCAAACAGATGTTCATGGCATTTGTATCAAACTCTCCAATGTGTGGACATTTCTTTTTTCTCTCTTTCATTATACATACATACATACTCGTTATGATTATGATACAAAGCAAACATATATAGTTTCGGGGGAGACCTTATGTTCCAGTTATCCTTTTCCAAGAGTATATTAAATTATGCACCAAACACTGTTGCTTCTTATAACTTTGTTTTTATTTCTTGATGTTGTTTCAGTAATTATGCATTGCGTTGCGCTTGGTTTTTTTTCAGCTTCGCTGTAATGTCTCTCGGTTTCAAATAGACGACAGAATTCCATCAAAAATTGAATATTTTTTCTCAAAGTAAAATTATACAAATTGAACAGCAGAAGCTCGAGAGAGTTAATTCGGCAGAGCTTAATTCCTCGACGCTCTTTATTCCTCGCATAAAACACAATCATTCGAAATAATCTTTTCGGCATATCCAAATATGTATAAGCTCTGGAAGAATAAAGATCGTTTCAAGGGACATTTCAGATGAGAGGAGCTTTAGTTCTTTTATCGAATCTTTTGTCAAACGTTTCTCTTTCTTTCTGATGTCATCACGCATTCAATCCCAATTTAATATTTTCTTTTTTGCTCGCAGGTTAATCTCCGTGGAGGAGGAACTACGTCGTGAACAGCAGAAGATGTCGGCGGCGTTGTCGTATAAACAGCGCGTGATCGACGCGCAGGAACAGCAAATAGCTGCCTTGGGTGCCGCGAACTCACGTCTCATGTCGACAAACGCGAGTCTGCTTTCGGCGCTGAGCAAGCAACGCTACAATGCCAAATCTCAGGCCAACAATGAAGCTGCACCTCTCCTACAGAACATCGCCGATATTGGCGAGCTTAAAAGCTCATCGTGTTAAGCGATGTTAGATTGAAAATCAAGAAAACAAGAAGAAATCTTCGAACGGAGAAAATGTTTTCTTTCATAGAAGTCTTGTACTGCAATACGCATTATAAACGACGTCATCAATGACGACGTTTATCTTCTCTGAATAATCTTGCAGCACCTCTATGATGTAGTCGATTTGTTGCAAGAGATAAGAATTCCAAAAGGGACTAATCATTAGTCAAGTCTATGCGAATTAACGTCGTTATTCGAAGGAAATAAGGGAAAATTCTTTATTCAGAGAAGTGCGAGGGGTGCATTGATCTTCTTTGGTTGCAATTTGTTGCATGAATTCCACGAATTATTTAATCGACACTCATTACCTTCCGATCTTGAGATTACGCGCTCGAAAAGAATGTTAAACATGCAGCGCGAATAGATCCGGTGTTGACCTGGACTCACGAAACTCGAGGATGCGGAGTATCGTACCAGAAAATAATAGATTGCGACATAAGAGAGAATTGCGTGCGAGAAATAGAGGCTATTTAGTAAATAGGCAAACCGAATAAGTAGACAACTTTCGTCGAATTTATATAATGTGACATAGCGTTAAGCTAGGTTTATTTGTAAGCGGATAAGAAAAAAATCTGCGACTCATCCAAGGTTCGATCGTGGAAATCGCTCTGATTACATGAATGACGATCGACTCGCGACAGTGCTGACCATTGAAATGAATATTTGTGACCGCAAGTCTTCTAACGGCGACTTTGCTTCGTTCGGCACGAACGAAACGAAAGTGGCAACGAGACTGAATTTTAATTTTATTCAAGTTGAAGATCCTCGATCAGCAGCGAAAAGCGAATCGATTGCATCTTCATTGATTCAATACGAATTATTTTGATCATGTCTATTCAATTAGCGAACGTATAAATAGAAATTGAACTTTATTGAAAAGTATGAGTCCCGAAATTCGTAAGAGTTTAAGTTAAAAAAACGTAGCTTGTTATTTGTATTTATCTCAATCACTTATCTAGAACATCTAGAATGATCATGAGTTTTATCAATTTTAGTTTACTGTACTAAAAATCAGATGGTATCTAGCAGTTTGCATTGCTTGCGCGACGAAAATTGATGTTCGATTCCAATTGGATCATTCAATTAAGAATCATACGGCAGCGGGCACTCAAACGGCACATGAAAAAGTCCTGATCGTCAAATCACGTATATGTTTTCTCCCTTGTTTCTTCTATTGTATCTACGCACAGACGCACGTACCGTAACAGTTTAGAAATAGTGTGATACCTGTGGAGTATAATATTAACGTTCGCGCCACATACGACATAGGAGCATCCTCGAGCACCGGAGATCGTTCTGCAGGACCTCGTGCCCTACATATTTATACATATAGGCGCGTCTATTTTTCTAGTTTGTTCCTCGAGTGCACGGTCTCTCACGACCGTAAAACGCGACTTTTATTTTTACGTGCGAATTATTATTTGATTGTAAAGCCTGCGTTGCGTTTCTTTTCTAAAACGAACGAATTTGGCCGAATAGCTCGCGCGATTTTTTTTTTTTAAATCATCGAATATTGAGTAAGAAGCAAAACGAACTTCCACAACCAAAAGGTGAACGAAAAAGTCAGTCAAACGAAAAAGGCAAGCGGACTTTTAAAATGACGTTTCGCGTCCATCTTCGAACGTTCTTTTTATCTTGACGAACCGCGAACAAATAACGACTACCTTTGGTTCAGCATGATTCTTTATTCTAAGCAACGATATTTATTTAGTAGTATCTACCAAAGATGAAGAATTTCACATTGTAAAGAGAGTATTGAGATTTATGTAAGATATTTGATTGTTTTCTTTTTTTTTTTTACTTTTACCGTTCCCGACGAAAGCGATAATAATTATCGCCATGTACGCGACGCAATCGGGAACGGTACTCGAGAAAAACGACACGTGAATTCGAAAATTGTTTTTCTCACTCGATATTGTTTGAAGCAAAATTTTTGCACATCAAGCCGTAATTTTATGCGTGTATAAGCATTGCACATAACGCATGACAATTAATTAGATTTTTCGAAGGTCTCGCTCATTCGCAAAACGTTAATGTATTACGTTTTACATCACAATAACAATTATTATTGCAGCCATTGTCGTATAATGCGTGTGAAAGACTGATGAGTGAGAAAGCGAGTGAGAGAGCAGGCGAAAAAGGTGGAAAAAGAGAAAGCGTGAAAGAGAGAATGAAAGAGTGTCAGTTCGCGTGCGAGGGAGCGTGAGAAAAGATAATCAGTTTAATCTCGCTAAGGAAAAAAAAGTATTATCTCGTCAACTTTGTACCATAGTGTTATTCTCGCCTGTCCGAGCGTTTGAGCCTCTTGCCTGACGCACACATTATTACTTTTGTATAGAAATATCCTTATTCTTCTTTCTTCTTCTCTATCATTTCCTTTTATATTTTCCATTCTTCCGTATCACGGAAAACCACAACCGTACTGCGTTCGCGGGAAACCGCCCCTTTAGAAGACACTTTCTTCGACTCGTCGAGTATTTACATTTGATAAAATTAATATATTAATACTATCCTCCTTTCTTCTTGGACGATGTAATCGATAAATATCTATTTAAAGAATCACTTAAATAGCGTGTACATTATTAAGTTTTGGTATATTCGTTTCTGCAATAGACCACCTGTATTTAAGCATATAGTGACTATTACACTACATGAACAAATAAATACGATTAGACATATAAACGACCCTCTTTTTTCCAAGTTTATCCAATTCGAACTTTATTTAAGGAAATGTTGGAGTGACGGCCGAACTTTACTGAGGTCGACAGTACGGATCTTTTTAATACTAAATTCGATAATAGTGACATTTTTCATTCATTTTTTATATTATGTTACATTATTATAGATCATTGTGTCTCACTTAAACACAAATCAAATTTTAATTCAGTATTAATTATTTCTCCACATACTATATTCATTATTTTATCAGATTTTCCTACTGCGACTTCTTACTACATTTTATTTAAAAAAAAAAGAACTGTACGTAATGATGATAATAGATAAAAAGGATACGTTATCTTTTTTAAATAAGCTAGGGACTATATGGATTTAATATCATCACTTGCATCTGGACAGAGTTGTACATATAAGTCTGTATCAATCTCTACTCATTGTTCATAACTTTCAACCGTTTTTATTACGACTATATTTATATTATATTTAACATTGATGTTAAATAACTCGATCGGAGTCGAAACATCTGTAAATCCTGTATAGCGCTACTTTATTTATTTTTTAAAAAATTGAGTAAATTTCTAACTTATTTTTTTATTTTAGTATAAAGTTTATTGCAGCACCTTATAATTTTAAGTCTACTTTAATCCTGTAAATTAATTTTTTATTCCATGCGGATTTTTATACAAACTGTAATGTGTCAATAATTTGGTCACTTCAGCATTCCCTTAACTAATTTAAATATTATAATTTATAATTTTTTAATTTTAATAAAAAACCAAAGAATCGTTCCAAAATAAAATATTATATAAAATTTGATCACAGCAATGAAATGCTTGTCGTCGCATATGCATATTTATCTTTCTATGATAAATATATTTCTATGTAAGGGCAATGATCAATAACGCGATAAAGTAATTGAAAAATAAGTTTTCAGTGTAGTGCTTCTAATTATTATTTTAGATATTTTTATTGTGCATAATTAAGATTCAGAAAAACATATATACAATAATTTATATTAATATTGAAATGTATTATCCTGAAATTCTGGTTTATAATATTCCAGTTCTTCCTGGTGTACACAAGATGGAGCCATAAGTCCATTATAAGCCTCAAAGTTAAGACTAACATGAAAATTCGAATTAAGTTAATATAAAATTGTTTATTGATTAAAATTACTTCGTAATTTATTTTTAAATATCTCCACTGTTCTCTCTCTCTCTCTCTCTCTCTCTCTCTCTCTCTCTCTCTCTTTAAGATTCATTTTTTTTCATCAACAATTAACTATCAATTTCTGTCGAAATTGCGCTACCTACATCATCGCAGGTATACATAGGAAAATGATCGCAAATATACAAACATACCAAAATTGTTTGCTTAAATAAATAAATCGCAATTATTAGTACTAGCAATTTGAACTACCACGCTGTCTTGATTTCTTTCAAGATCTTATGAGAAAATAAGACTGCTCAATCACGAGCATATATATATACTTACTAATCGCATTAGTCATAATCCTCTTGGATGCTTATCACCGTGCAGTCAGCGTCCGCGATATTGCCATGTAAACAGGCGGTCGCCGAGCGATCATCGCCGGCCAATCAATCTAATCGAGATGAGTTTCGATAACGGTGGTGGCTCTCGAAAAATCAATAATACACAGCCCTCCGGCATGCCAGCACGAACGACGACGCCACACGCGGTATTTCCAAGGTAGCCCCGGCGAACGAACGAGTGGAAAAAATCTCTAAAACGTAAAAATCTTTCCTCTATCCGACGGTTTCGCATTTAACGCTACACTGGCTAAATTCTTTTATCGGCACTAAATCTTATTGATTCTTAGCTTATGCGTTTAAATACGAGATACTAACATTCGTTCTTTCGCGAGATCCTCTTCACATTGCGATCAATATTTTTAAGTACCGAGGACAGCATCTTTCTACTTACTGCGAAAAAAAATCCGAGCACGATGTTAAACACATCAAGTAAAGATAGTCGCTCCGATCAAATCAGCGCCAGCGTAATATGTATATACGTATCATTTAATATACTCGGTATATTAATTTGATGTAAACATTTGATGTAAAATGAAAATATGACAAGATTTAAAATGACAATTTAATGTCGCTTAAAATTAGACATGATATGATATCTATTCTAAGATAGTTAAAAGATCAATGAGCATATAATAGGAGTAATAATAATCGGGATACTGTTGAGTTGAATGACTGGTATTTTGTAAGAACGCTAAATGAGACAAATTAGCATGTAAATTACATATATATTGATAAACTGTCGAAATAAATGTAAAGTTACATAAAAATCCAAAAACTCTCTAAATTTTTTGGAGTAGAATCTTATTCTGACAAAATGAGTGAAAATTGAATAAGTTCAAAAAGAGCGGTTTAATTTTCAGTTTTTAAAAATGAGGTTTTTAATAAAAGATTGCGTCATAATGATATCTGATCGTGTAAGTTTCGCTCGAAAATATATTCGCGACGATGCTTATGTTGCCGAGCGCCGTAAACGCGTTATCTCCGTTCATTGGCTTATTATGTAAGTCATATAATTAGATTTATTGGACGTAAATTATACAAAAGTCAGAAAATCGGAGCACTATTCACATATATCGCATGTATTTCAGTCCGATGAATTTGAAAGATAGTTTCAAACGGAAATATTTACAGATAATATTCGTAGAGAACGGAGTTGCAACAACGATGACGTAGAGAAATGGCAATGGCGATTAACGCGTGCAACATGGTAGTCATAACGCAACATTATAAGGTAGGCGAGATGTTTAGTCACTGATATCAAGGACTCCCGACAGCTTGAGTCGCAATAATACATATTAATGCTCTTGTACCTAATTTTAGATATCTGCGACCGAGTAACACTCACCATAATATCTGATGCAACCTTAACGTTGCCAGAAGGTAGCAATGTATGAACAAAAAATTTGTTCATGCTTTTCTCACTCTTATTGACAAGTAAACTTTTTTCTTCGTCTTTTACAATGTGAAATTTCAACTATACTATATACATAGAACAAAAAAGAAAATGACCATAATATTTTTCATTATATTTTTATAATCACACGATATTGGGAGTAATAATACTAAAATATAAAAAATAATGTTGCTTTTCTGCGATAATAATTTTACAAATTTTATGTCCATTACAAAATTTGTTGCAATCTATCCAACTTTTCCTA